AGCGAAACAGGGTTATTCCATCATCTTCTGTAGTATTCTTCTGTTATGTGGGGACATCCATCTAAACCCGGGGCCTGCTAACTACGAGTCCGTTCCCCGTGGACATGTGGAGAGACCGATGTCCTACTTTTGTGACGCTCTCCCTACAGGATTACGAGGTAAAAATCACACAAAATCCTCACAGACTGCCACCGTGTTTATTAAACAGCATCAAACAAAACTGTTTCAGACTGTTAACCATGCGAGCGTATTATGGAACCCGAAAACAAAACCGAAAGGAGTTTTTGGTGGACATTTGAATATACGCAGCGTTGTATCTAAAACTGAACAATTGGAACATTTGCTAACGGACTCAAATCTTGACTATTTGTGTCTCACTGAAACTTGGCTAACTCCAACAACTCCTTTATCAGTATTTAATATCCCGGGTTATAAGGTGTACAGACGAGACAGAAGTCAAGGGAAAGGTGGTGGGGTTTTAATTTATGTTAAGGAGAGCATTTTAAGTAAACAAATAGATATGAATGAAAACACCCTGGAGTGTATAGGGGTTACTATTACATTGTCCCCCGAAATGTCTTTCGTTATCTTTGCAGTCTATCGTCCACCTACTGCCACAAATGATTTTTTTAGCTGTTTATCTGCAACCCTTAAACAACATGAAAGCAAAGAAGTTATACTAATGGGTGACTTCAACTTAAACTGGCTCGATAAATCACGCAGAAAAAAGCTTAAAGATATTGCAAAAACATTTTATATGGTACAAAAGATAAATAAACCTACACGAATAACTAAATCCTCTCAAACCTTATTGGATTTAGTTTTTACAAATAAACCAGAAAGGATAATTAAAACATACAACCTTGTTACTGGCTTGTCAGATCATAATCTCACGTTAGCTGCTAGGAAATTGACCAAATCACGGTACAGGGACCAAAATACAGTGAAAGGAAATCCCGCTATATCATATATTCCAAAGAGAGAGTTAACACAAATTGAGAATGAAATAAAGCAAACAAATTGGAGAGACACTGTTGAAAATAAACCCTGTGAGCAAGCATGCAATGAAATAACGTCAGCCCTTAAAGAAATAATATCAAGATATACAAAAACAATAGCCAAAAAACCTAGAGCTTTACATATATTGCCTTGGTTTAATAGTAATCTCTGGCAACTAATGAAAAAAAGAGATGCCTCTTTAAAAAGGTTTTTAAAATCAGGTTTAACTACTGATCATCTAATTTATAAAGGTCTGAGAAATAAGGTTACAATGCAGCTTAGAAAGGCTAAAGCATAATTTTTCCTTGAAATCATTAGAGAAGCAAAAGGGAATAGTAAACAACTATGGAAGACTATTGATAAATTAACTGGCAAGGACAAGTCTAAGCATGAAAACTTACAGATCAAAATAAATAATGAAATTCAACATGATAGTTTAGCTATTGCAACAGAATTTAACGATTATTTTTTGAATTCCGTGGAAACACTGGGTCAGAATTTTACTAAAAAAACTTTTAATTATTCTTTGGTCTGTGATAGTGCTGGTTTTATTATGACACCCACAAACGATATAAAGGTTAGTAAAATACTCTCAACACTTGCTAATAGCAAAGCAAAGGATATCTACGGTCTTGATACTGCTTTCTTAAAAACTCATATAGAATCCTTGACCACACCTTTAACTAAAGTAATAAATAAATCAATTAATGAAAGCACCTTCCCAGGTGTCTTAAAACTTGCTATTGTGACCCCGGTCTATAAATCTGGTGACAAACAAGAGGTTAGTAATTACCGACCTATTAGCATCCTTCCGGTCATTTCAAAGGTCATTGAAAAGGTTGTAGCAGAACAACTAATTGCTCACCTTGACTCTAAGGCCTTTTTACATCCTATGCAATTTGGATTCAGGAAAAAACACTCAACTGAAACAGCCTGCTGCTACTTCCTTGAACAAATTAAAACAAATTTAGATCAAGGTGGTGTGGTGGGAGCAGTCTTTCTTGATTTAAGTAAGGCTTTTGATACGGTTAGTCATGAGATACTATTATGCAAATTGGCACAATACAATCTTGCAATAAACACACAAAACTGGTTCAAATCTTATCTGAGTGGACGACAACAGTGCGTGCGGATGAACAATACATTCTCCCCATTGAAAAGATGTACCATGGGGGTCCCGCAAGGGTCAATTTTAGGGCCGCTGCTTTTTAGTATATACATAAATGACCTTCCATTAGTATGTAATGGTATTGATTTAATAATGTATGCAGATGATACTGTGCTGTACACTCATGGGAAAAATGCTACAGAGGTTGCTTTAAAATTAACGAATGTAATGCATAAGGTTGTTGAGTGGTTACATAACTCATGTCTTACTTTGAACACTGAAAAGACGGTAACCATGTTTTTTAAAAATAGATGCAAACTTAGGGAATGTCCTGAGGTCTTTGTGAATGGGCATACTATTAAAAATGTGGACGAATTCAAATATTTGGGCTTAACGCTGGACCCAACTCTAACCTTTAAAAAACATGTTAAAAAATTGAGAAATGCACTGAAATTTAATCTTATAAATTTCAGGCATATAAGAAACTCTCTTACCATTGAGGCATCAAATACCTACTTAAGTGCAATGATTGTCCCGCATTTTATGTATTGCATGACAAGTTGGGCTCAAGCAGGAAAGACAAGCTTGAGACCACTTGAATCTTTATATAAAACAGCCCTTAAGATCCATGATAAAAAGACTCATCAATATCACCACTGTAAAATAATGACTAAGTATAATATTTTAAATTTTGGAAATTTGATAATGCATTCGAATGTCTGTTTACTTTTTAAAATCATTCATAATGCTGTCGCCCCTCCTCTAAAAAAATTTATTGAGCTCAACTCTGAAAAAAAAAGAGCTACTCGGTCCGCCACTAGAGGAGAATGCAATATTCCAAATCGCAAAACCTCATTTGGCAAATCTGCCTTTTCTTTTGTGGCTATAACACAGTGGAACACGCTCCCCACACACCTTATTACCTGTACAAATCCTCAAACCTTCTCGAGTTTGACAAAAGCATGGTTATTGTCACAACAAAACTGTACACATCTATGAAATGTGTGTGTGTGTGTGTGTGTTTTGTACTGGGAGAGGTAGGGATCTTGATTGTTTAGTTTTGTCGGGGTGGGGTGGGGTTGGTTTTAGGAATGGGGGAAAATTGAGCATATGTTAGTTTTAATTGTAAATTAATTTTATGGTTAGAAAATTGTATATTTTAATGTTTTGTATTATTCTCTGCCAAGGGACTACGGGCGGAAAATAGCACTTGTGCTACAACCTGGCACAATGCATCTCTCTTTGTTTTTTAAACAAGGTTAATGTTAACTTGTGCATTGTCCCTATTTAAATAAAATGAATCAGAATCAGAACGTTACTGCCTGTGCCTACACAATGCAAGAGTTCAGAAGCTTTAAGTCATTAGAAGCTGAACAATTCTGCTGCGGCTGCGGGTGCAAGACTTAGAAACCCCCAAACCTGTAACGTTAAACTGCGAGAGTTCAGTCATACTTGATGTTTCATTCAGGCCTCATTCATATGTGGAAATAAATCTGATATGAATCAGATACGTGCATTTGCACCTGCCGTGCAACGTTAAGCGAACAGATCGGACATTCCCCTGTCAATGCGAATCTTACGTCATTAAAAAAAGTGTATTTTTAAAACATTTCACGGTACAGATATATCTATAACAAATGAAACAACTCTAGTTGAATAACAGAGTATTAATTTCGTTCGCTTGTGTTAAATAAAAGGCGAACTGTGCTGACGTGTTGCTTTTGAAAGCAGGCTTTGCTCGCTGTTGCTGCTGTCAGTTTATTGACAAGCAGTTTCTCTAAGCTGGCTGCATTGTTATTTAGTCTCTCCCGATAGAACCCCTTTCATTTCTCTTCCTTCTCCATATCTTCCAAAGAAACTGCGGCGTATCGGTAAAATGTGAAATGTAAACAAATACTAAGCTGCGCTGTCTCTCTTTCGCTATTTCTGTAATGTTTAGTGTCGCGCCTCTGTGAAGTTCTGAAGGCGTTGCCCCTGGCAACCGATAGCGTCTCCTTCCATCATGGCCGACCGGCTCAGACCCCGCCCAAATCGGCACGTGACTCCTCACTCTCAATACAATTCTTAGTACTATTAATTCTTTAAATTGTTTTGACGAAATTATAGTATTGGGAGATTTCAATCGAAATTGGCTTGATAGGTCCTCTCTGAAAGAGAGGAATCAGTTTGAAAGCCTAAATCTCACTCAGTTAATACGGGAGCCTACCAGAGTGGAGGGGAACTCAGGTCTCTCTTAGACTGGATCTTGGTCACGCATCCCAATAGAATTACTGATTCAGGTGTTTTATCTGATTGCTTCAGTGACCATTCAGTTATCTTTTGTATCTCGAAAATAAGGTTACTGCGTCTACCACCTAAAATAATCAAGGTAAGACAATTTATTAGACATTTATTCAAGATTTGTTATGTATTAATTGGAACAGGATGTATTTAATTCCTTATGTTGATGATGCCTGGAATTTCTTTTATACTGAGGTATTAAAAGTTATAGATAAACATGCTCCATGGGCATCAGTCAAAGTGAAGGGTAGACATCTATGGATTGCTGGTGATTTAATATATCTCTTTAAGCAAAGGGACAAGGCCTGGGAAAGATACCATTTAACAAAAGATCTGGTAGATTGGATTGAATATAAACGATTAAGGAATGTGTGTAGCCTATACTGTCAAAACAAGAAATGTCAAATCTGACTATTATAAAAATTCACTATCAAACGATTTTACAAATCCAAAACACTTTTTTGACTTAGTTTAATTGGGTTGGGGTGCCGTGGGCAGAAAAAGGCTCCAAAGGGCTTCCATGCTTTTAAAAAGTTTGGGAACCACAACTATCACAAGAACAACAGACTGATGTATTTCTCTGACAGAAAATCTTTTTCTCTTTCTTCTTCAGTTCTGTCTGATGTTGATGAAGTGAAGTCAGTGCCACTGATAGTGGGAGATTCAGTCACTCTAAACTCTGGTACTATTATACAGAGAGATGATGTGATAGAGTGGAGGTTTGGAGATCTAAACTCTCTTATAGCTGAAAACAATAGAAAGACTGGAAACTTCTCAACATCTGATGGTCCTGATGGGAGATTCAGAGAACGACTGCAGCTGGACTATTGGACTGGATCTCTGACCATCATGAACATCGGAACCAAAAACTCTGGATTTTATGAAGCTGGTATTAGGAAAAGCAGCAGCGGACACACCATACACAAGTCATACAACGTGACTGCCAGCGGTGAGTTTATCAACTCTTTTATAGTAATAATAAATCCCAGCATCCTAGAATAGCTTAAATGAACATTTATTTGCAATAAAAAAATAAATAAATGAACATTTATTTTTAGTTCTCCTCAAACACTTGATCATTATGCTGAAGTGATGTTCAGCTTTGAGTGCTTAATTTTATACATCATTTGGTGAATTAAATGAAAAGTGGAGATTTGAATCATTCTGTTCATCAGTTTCCAAACACCAGTAAAAGTGCCGTCAGGAGTGTGTCCTTATTAGTAAATCACTTTGGATAAAAGCGGTATGCATATACTTGTGCATGGGAGATGAAACACTAATTTGTTTATTGCTCATTTTGTCTATAAATCAGACAGATTTAAGCCCTTTACAGAACAATTGAAATTAGCATTATTATACAAGACTTAATTATTATACATTTGTTACCTGAAATTATTAACTGTTAAAAATCTTCAAGCATGCATCTAAAGCTATACCATGTAACTTTTTTATTATCAAAAAAAGAATAAAATAGTATTAATGAGAGAGTGCAAAAAAAAAATCCATCTTTCAAACCATGTCTTTACCAAAATACACTTTGATAAATCTATAATTATGATATTTTAGAGCAGTTGTATTGATTTTCAGGAAATTGCATGCATACGTCATTCACACAGTGTAGCTTGTAACGTCTGAGTAGGTCTTTCTCAATGATCTTGTGATTGGTTTTTCCCTAAACCTGACTACTCTATCAATAATACTTATACTGTAGCGCGTCAATTATATTGACGTTAGCTAAGTTTACACCTCCACGAGTCTACAAATCGACTTCAGTTTCAGTTCTCTCACTATACTCCAGCGAGTCTTCTTGTCGACTACAGCCGAGTCTAATAATTCTTAACTTCGCTGCGAAGCTTTAATGACAGACAGACTTCAGCAATTGTCCTTTGATGCTCTTTATTACGGCCAGGAGTTCTCGAGCAGTTCTCTGAAAATCACCCAAGAATAACCAAGGCCGGAGGATCTCAGACAATTTCCATTGAGAATCGCACCGAAAACACAGATACCACAGTTTTTATAGAATAGGGAGGTATGGCATAGTGACATTAATTTGATTGGTTATTCATTTGCAGTCTCTTCTGTTACTGGGTAGAGAAGATTTTGTTTTAACGGTTACTTCATTGATCACAAGTTCTAACCTAGTCATCTGTCTAGATTAATTTCCCATATTTGTTATTTATACACACAGTCAGGGGTTCGACACACACACACATTCAAAATACCTAAAATATCTAGTATCTAAAATACAGAATGTCTTAGAACATTGTTTCAGAGATTTAGCATGTTAGATAAGGTTAAATGTTAAAACATGTTTAGCTTAATATTTAGTTAAAATTTTCTATGACAAACTTCATGTGTGTGTATTACAGGTGAAATGATGTCAGCACTATCAGTGATAGAGGGAATTTCAGTCACTCTACACACTGATCTCACTGAGATGCAGACGACTGATTTAATGCAGTGGATGTTTGAAGACTCGGTCCTCGCTGAAATCAATAAAGCACGCACACGATTCCTCACATCTGATGTTCCTGATGGGATATTTAAAGGCAGACTGAAGCTGGATCCCCAGACTGGATCTCTGACCATCAGGAACACCAGATTCACAGATTCTGGACTGTATGAGCTGAAGATCATCATCAGCAGATTCACCATAAACAAGAGAATTACTGTTACTGTCACTGGTGAGTAGATCAAATCTGTCAATGTAAAAGTGTTCTTATTTAAATCCTAAAGTTAAACTTCATTTGAACACTTAAACATCAAATGTGAATCTTTGGACTGCCGTTAAACTGTTATAGTTCGTCTTTCAAAGAACTTTGGTGCAGAAGAATACAAGATATTTGTGAGAAATACCATTATTGGCATTATACCATATAGTCTTAATATTTGGTAAGTAAGAGCCTCTTTTTTGTTAAACTTAATGTTTTAGTTATATTTAACATTCTGTAACATTGATTACATTTATTACCAAGGAGCGCACCAATTTGCATTTTTTATAAAAAAAAAAAAATAATTCTTGATTCCCAAATGAAGAGAGTAAGATTAAGGTATTGAAGTTGGGAGACACTAATGCTAATGGACACTAATTACTGCATGTTTCCAACTGATTTTAGATGATTAATCTCCATTACTGTTTGTAATGTTCTTAAATAAATCAGTCCTCTGTTCACATCAAACTCCTGCTGTAACACCGTAATACAAAAGATCAACACAGTGAAGGAGAATATCATAATAATTAAAATTACATTCTCTCATGCTCATTAATGACTTAATTTGATTTATATTTACTGTTTAAGCTATACAGTGCGTGCAGAATTATTTGGCACGTTGATTTTCTGATCATATTTTTTTCAGGTACATTTTACCCATTCCAAACCACATTTATCTTTACTACTATTCATTTTGTATTTAATCATTTGTGAGTGCAGCAAGCTGACTCTCTAGACTTCAAAGTTCTTTTGTACTCAACACAAAACGTCAGTAAACAAAAGTCTTGAATCCAACGTTCTTCGTTTGACTGTTTAATTATGAATTGCAAAACATAAAAAAATAAAAACTTAGGATCTTTACTTTTCTTACAAATTAACTGAGCTCCGTGAAGTCGCCGAGCTCAAGTCAAAAGTCCGTCTCATTGGACAGCATTTCACTGTCCAATGGTCATGCATAACGTCAATTTCTAGTATTGCATTATTATTGCACTCTTCTCATGGGCATTCAAAAAGTCCGTCTCAACCCTCCCCCCGTTGGATAAGTCGCAGAGCTCAAGTCGAAAGTCCGTGAAGCGGACCTGCAGCGGGGGGCCCAGCAGGATGGCTTGTACCCAGATTCACTCACACTGATGACTCTCTCTTTATCATCACACATCCAGGTCTGTCTACAGGTGCTATAGCAGCGATCAGTGTTGCTGCTGGTCTGCTGGCGTGTGTTACTGTAGTTGCTGCTGTGATTTACCATCGCCGCAAGATCTCTAAACTAAAAGAATGTGAGTATTACAGCTGATAAAGCAAGATAAATACTGAGCTTTATTATGATACAGTAGAGATTAAAAGTGTAAAATGTTTGTTCGTAATCATGTTTCAACCATTTACATGTGTAGTGTATGTGTGTGTGTGTTGTAGTTTTGCTCATAAAAGCAGGGTTAGAAAGAAACATAATCAATACACAGATATTAAAGAGCACTGACTGTGGTTTTGTTTTAGAATGAAGGGCTCTGAATGCATTGTTATACAACTTTATAAAACTATTTTATTGTTGTGTGGCAACAAAATGAATAGCTAGTCCACACTTTTTAAAATGCATTAAGTTTTCTGTTAGGGTTGGTGTCTGGGTTTGTGTTTAAATACAGTATTTATGACCAGCTTTCACAACAGACTTCTGTGCAACGTCCCCATTTAGATAACTATGTAGACGTGTCTCAATCATAACTGATCTGGTCTCCTGACGAGTCGCACTCTTCATCTGCTCAGGGTCAAAGGTCATCTTAAACCAGCTCAGAGTAGTTTATGATGCTCTTCATACCAAAGAAATGGAAACTCTTAATAGAAAAGTTATAGATTTATTTAAATGATATGAAATACAGAGCAATAGCTTCAGGGTTTCACAGATGCTAAAATAATAAACACAACCATATCAAACAAAACCTGTGATTAAAATCATAGGGAAAAAAGCCTCCTCTGACTACCCAACATGAAACACATTTACACATTTAGCAGATACTTTTATTTTAAAAAAAGAAGCACTTCATGATGAATACAACACAAAAACACAGATTATGAATAATGTTGAAGTATTTCAGATAATGTGTTAGTTTATATTGTCTTTTGCTGTGAGTGTAAATGTGCTTCAGTGTTAGGCTACGTCTACATTAATCCGGATACATTTGAAAACTGCGTTTTCGTTTAAAAATGCTCTCCGTCCACACTAGCGTTCTCTTTCATAGGTTCACTCAACGCTGCGTAGCTTAAGACCCAGTGGGAACGCCCTCTGGGTGTGCCGATTGTCTGAAGCCCTTATAGAATCACGCCAATTCATTGGCTGATGGCGCGGGCGCCGCCCCGATGCTCTTACATCGTAACATTATATACGCGCACGCCATCTGCTCCTCATGGTGTGTTCACACCGAACGCGAATTTAATTATTTGGGCGAGTAGATTACATACAAAGTCAATGCAAAGACACGAATAGACGCATCATTCGCGCCGGGCGTTGCGAATGACGCGAATTGGGCGAGGCGTTTGCCGCGAATGTCTTCCGCGCAAGTTGAAAATTTTGAACTCCAGCAAATGTTCAAGCGTCTAACTAAACGCGATAGACGCGTATTTGACGCTCTATTCGCGTTCGGTGTGAACACACCATCAGATTTCTCTGCCTTCACGAAGCGGCCATTTCATGCCCTTCGCTTTCGGTTTTTCTGAGCCCGAATTCTGATTTTTCTACTACTATCGTCGTCTTCCACACTTCAGCGACTGCAATAAGTGGAACTCTGTTCCAGTTTCAGTGAAGTGCAATGGAATATCGTCGTTGTTCTCCGCCATGTGCTCGCTTCATTGCGAGCAACGACCCTCACAGTAAGTGTATTAAATGTTTGGGTTTTTTGCATGCGCGTGAGGCTGTTTTAGGGTCGTCAAAGTGTAAATTTTGCGACAATCTCCTTCTCAAAACCCTCCGTTCGAGACTTGCGTTTTTTAAGAAAGGAGTCATTCGTTTCCCCCCGCCGCGCTCCTGAGACCGCCGAGGCCTCTCGAGGATCCGCGACCTGGGGTTCGGATGTAGAGGTCGAAGACGCGGAGTATGAGAAGATGGGCCTCGCCCTTTCTCTCCCGAGCACGCACGTGGCATGCCTGTCGAGTTCGCGCATGATTATTTATGCCCCAGCCCGGGAGCATGCGAGTCGGTTTCTTTCGGGCTGGAAGACGTTATTTTTACTGCAGCTTCCGACGTAGGTCG